CACAGATGCCTTCAGCGTTAACAGATCTCTCCCACAGGCACCAAGAGACGCAGTGTCAAGAGAATACCAACAGTCGAGCACTATAAAAATGTGCTTTCTTCAACTAGCTTTTCCAGCACTGACCTTCAGACTGTACAGCTCTAGTCCTGTCTCGTGCAGGACTCATTTTTTCTTAGTTGAACAAAGTTTAAGACTTCTGGAAGCAGATGGGTCTCACGGGAATTAAGTATAGGTTGAAGTCAGTACATGTGACTGGACCGAACTCGGGAGTATGGTATTCTTGGGCAAGGACTGAATCCCTGAAGAGCATGGATGGATTGCAGATTGAATCTGATGTGTTTGGTGATAATATAATGTGGAGCTAAGGGTAGATTGCATTGGATACGTGACTCAACAGCTCTAGCTAGTACTGACTCACAGTGAAATGCCACTTATTTGTCCTCTTCGCAAGTGAATGAATTGTGTCATGCTAGTCCTGGCTAGCCTTGCCATAAGAAAGGATGCCCTGCTCCGTTCCCATTCCTGTGCCCCAGTTACAGTATCATTTTGGTTATGCAAATGAAACAGGTTTAGTGAATGGATTAAGAACTGACCTCCTCTCACTGGTAAAACCCCCTGACACCTCAGACTCACCCCTGATCTCACAGATGGATTGGTTTCGGTGGGCAGGATGACCTGCAGCGCCATCTGACCCTGCCCATTTTGGAGTAGACACCTTACAAAACATCCCCAGTGCCTACACAAACCAAGGAGGTATCTCTGGACCGCTTAGAATTCGCTCTCCAGACCAGTCAGTTCTGCCAGGCACTGCCTGGCACTTTGAGCAACTTCTCTTTTGTTTAACCATAGTTTAAAATAACTTATCAACCAATCATAAAATGAATTTTTTGGTTTCTCCTGGCTCCATGAACACAAAGAGGTGCACGTCCTACCATAGGAGGAAGCAATGGCTGTTAAGTTTTACAGTTATAGTGGAAAGCACTGATCACAGCCTGCCGGCCTCACTACTGGATGTGACAGGCAGTGGAGGAGGTGGCTTGGCAACACATGCAGGTAGGGTTGACCGATTTAGGGGGGATTAGGTCGAGGTCCTCATCATCCGGGATCTCATCTAACCGGTACCCATCCTTTAGCAGCTGGATGTTCAAGTCTTGGTTGATCTGCTACAGACAAAGAGACAAACAGTCAAACACTTGAGACTTCTTACTTCTGATAGTCAGAAGATGAAGGAGGTCCCTTATTCTGGAATATATTTCCTGATCATTGGCAGCTGCCCCACCAACGAAAGAATCCCAGTTTTTGACCACAGGTGAAGGCTGCCTTCTGTTCTAGCTTCTTCCAGAATAGGAATATCTGGAGTGAGATATTCCAGAGTAGCAAGTCATTACACTATTTTATTCTGGAATAATCTTTCTGTGAAGACAAGCCCTCATTTAAAGTAATGTAATAATAATGTTAATAAACCAACTGGCATCTGGGCAGTCCCTCCACTCAGTCTTGGGCACACTATAGCAGTTGAAAGGCGGTAAAGCCTCTTGGCTCTTCGTAATCTCAGATTCAAGTGCTGTCCAACAATATCTGGGTGAACAACTTCATCAGGACCCAGAGACGGCCCAGATCATTTGATCTGGTCCCTGCTCTTGGCTGTTTCTCTGTGCTTCAGACATATTTTGCCCAAGGAAGGGACACAAGGGGGAAGAGGTCCCAGCAGCTTGTGTACAGAATGGCTGTTTAGCACCCTGGGTGCAAAACCAGATCCTGCAGAAGCAGTAGCCAAAGGCTGAGCAACTAATTCCAGAGAAAGCTTGGGAATATATTCAGAAACAATGCAGAGGGATTAACAAGCCTGAGCTTCCTGCCTTTTCTCTTTGAAAGGGCTAGAGTTCATATCTGCAAGTCCTCCCAGGAATTTCTGCCTGCTCCAAGTAAACACGCACTGGGTGACCCTGACTGCCCCAAGAACTGGAAATTGCAGCACACCCTCAGATCCTTTATTTGTGTCCTTGGCAAGCATACGATTGCTGAGCTGGCGTGACAGACAAGTTGATGCTTTTGCACCAAAAGGGCCAACACTGCAGGACTAAGCAGAACTGGGAAAAGCTTGAGTGAAGCCAAAGGTAGCTGTGAAAACAGCCGATGGGCAGATCTCTGTGCCATAGCAGTGTGGGGATGGAGCCAATTGGATCACCAGGGAAGAAAGAAACATGACACAGTTTCTGCCATGGCCCCTTCCAGACTCACAGAGTCTACACCACTAGTGAATTCATTGTGTAGCCATTTCTGGCAGTACAAGGCCACTCTAAGCCATTTCTGGCTGCTCTACTATTAGCATTCATGGCAAGGTTGGCAGGAGAGAGTATAACTCACCTCAGCTGATGAGTATCCCGAGGAGGAATATCTGGACATGTCAAAGTCATCATCACTGCAGGGAAAGACAAGATACAGCAAAGAAGGAAACAGTTAGAGAGACCTGTATTCCCTGGTTAGCCCTATCTCTCTCGTGCTGTGAAGCTGTCCTTGAAGGACAGAGAAGTTGCAGCAAGGGAGGCTGGAGAGCAATTTTCATCTGTGACCCTCAGATCTTTCCATCACAGTGCTCTTTACTCATGTCTCTCCTACTTGTTTACACACACAGAACAGTAACCACAGTTATGCCATATGCCAACGGGCACAGCAAGGAAGAGTGCGAGCGGCCTGCAAGAGCAGTTTCGTTAGGTTCAGTGCTGCAGTCTGGCATGAAAACTCGCTTGCACCATAATGTGTATCATCTTATTAACACTTTGCATACCTGTCCGTATCCAGGGCTACCAGTGGCTTTTCATCTGGACTCTGGTCTAATGACGAATAGCCCTTATTGGGAACGACGAGCCTGAAATAATTAAATGTTGTCCATTAACCACACAGTAAAGCTCAGTACCACACCTAGTCTAGGGCAAAGCTATAAGATAGTTAGGTTTTCTCCGTTTCACTTCCTTGCAAGCCCTCCCTTATCGGTGAAGACGTTTAAGTGGGTGCAATTCAGAGGAAGCAAGCCTTGTCTCTGGGTAGCTTAGAGCAGCTTCACAGAGATGAACACTGGACATGCCTTGGGAACATGCTCCTCCTGGAAGAAAAAAAAGTTGGGACACTCCACGCTTCATTCTGGTGAACCTGTTTGGCTAGCACTGCTTGTCCTATCAGATTGCTCATTTTTGTGTTGCTTTTTTTTGCTAGCAATGAGCACATGACACTAGCAATATATAA